CCAGGGGTCCCAACCCCCTGCCCTGCAGCTGGAATTGCTGGTCCCCTCCAGCCCCATGTCCCTGGTTGGGTGAGCTGTCACTGAGGGTGCCAATGCTGACAGAGCGACTGGGCTTTCCCTCTATCACACCATGGCTGCTCAGACTCATGTATTTGTTTCTTCCTTTGCAGTATGTCACTGTGCAGGGCATTTCTGGGACTGGATCTCTGCGAATTGGAGCCAATTTTTTGGTGAGTCCCTGGCTGGTGGGGGAAGGAAAGGACATCTTTTGACCTGAGCTGAATCTTTGTCATTTTCTAACTGCTTGGATCTGCTCAACCTGTTTGAACACTGTCTTTCTCTTGATCAGCAACGGTTCTTCAAGTCTAGCCGTGATGTGTATTTACCTAAACCATCTTGGGGCAATCACACACCCATCTTCCGTGATGCTGGCCTGCAACTTCAGGCTTACCGCTACTATGACCCCAAGACGTGCAGCCTTGACTTCTCTGGAGCCATGGATGACATTTCCGTGAGTTGCCTTTTATGCCTTTTGTGGAAGCAGGGAGGTGATGTGGGGAGATGGAGGATCTTGCTTTAGCCTAAATATGATGCTTGAAGACACCAGATCAAAGCTAGAAGCCTTGCAGAGCTCATCTAAGCTGGCTAGGGCAAGAGTCTTGTCTCAGCTGCAGAGGAGAGTGTTAAGATGTTGTTAATAATTAATTATTTGTAATGTCTTCCTCAGAAAATTCCGGAGAAGAGCATCATCCTCTTGCATGCTTGTGCTCACAACCCCACTGGGGTGGATCCTCGGCAGGAGCAGTGGAAGGAGTTGGCAGCTATGGTGAAGGTGAGCGGTGGAGTGTCCCAGGAATACTGTGCTGTTCTGGGAAAACCACGTCTCTGGGCTTTCATGGGTGGTGTCTGCCCTTCCCAAGGGAAGGGTGTGATGTTCCTGTACTGAAAACAGGGGCCAGACAAATTCAGCCATAAAGCTTCTAGCTGATCATCAAACTTTCTGCTGGCACCTTCCCAGGAAGCTGGGGAAGGGAGACCTGAAAGGAGAGCAGCAGGGTTGAAAGAGTGAGGGCTGAAAGCTGTCATAGCTGGAGAGGGTCTCCCAGTGCTGGTGTATGAAAAATGCCGGAAGACCTTTGATGTGCCTGGTGTCTCCTCACAAGTTTCAGCTGGAAACAGAGAGGGGCAGGTTCTTCCTTCATCCTTCTCCTCTTCCTCCCTGCTGCTCCCCCAAGCTTAGCCAGTGAACTTTGGCTTGGGGGTGCCTGGCCATAGTAGTGTCCTGAGAACTGGTAGACGTTAAAGTGGCCTCTGAGGCTGTGGGTCTCCCGTCTGAGGGGCAGTGGGGCTGGGTTATCTGCCTGGAGGCATTGGAAGGGCTGGCACCTGCCCAGAGGGTTCCCAGGTCGTTTTACTGGAAACTGATAATGCAGGAGACACTGAAATGGAATAATTTATTACTGCTGAATCCACTTTGGCCTTCTGGGCCGGACTGCACATCCCATGAATGCACTGGGAGGGTCTTGGCCTGCTGTTTTGATGTGTGGTTTTGAGCTGCCTTTCCTGTGGCAAACGAAGGGGAGCAGCTCTAATTCTGGAGGAGCACAGTTGCAGTTGAGCAGGCTGTGGTCTGCGTGGCTCTGTTCAGCCTGCTGCCCTGCTCCCCAGAGGGATGTTTGGCTCCTGTGACACTCTCCCCTCTTTTTCTGGCAGAAACGAAACCTCCTGGTGTACTTTGACATGGCCTACCAGGGCTTTGCCAGCGGGGACATCAACCGGGATGCCTGGGCTGTGCGGCATTTCATCGATCAGGGCATCAACGTGGTCTTGTCACAGTCCTACGCCAAGAACATGGGGCTGTACGGTGAGTGGGGCAGG